ATGAAATAATGACAGCATTATTGTGATAGCTCTAAAAGCCAATTAAACGTATATTTGATTATTAAAAGATAATTTGTCGTTATAAAAGTATGAATAACAGTAAGCTAAGGAAAAACTACATATATAATTATAAATTAGAGGTTAGAGATTTCGACTAATGCCTATAAAATCTTAATTTAAACTTAATTTTTTAAAATTAAAAGAAATAATAGTTAGATTAAAAGATAGAAATAAAGAAAGCATTTAGAAGATGAAAGGCTTATAGCAATGTCATTAGATGACATATTTCAAGGAGGAGAGAGAGGGAGTCTAGATTGTTAAATTATAAGGAACAAAATTATTCATGCAAGAAAAAAAAATTAAGAAAGTGAATGACTTTTTCTTGATGTAGCTTTCACTTTTAGTGGAAAGCATTAAGCATATCTTTGATTATTAAAAGATGATTTGTAACCTTATTTGTCGGTGATTACATTGTTTTCCTTTCTTATATATCACTATTATACCGCTACACTGGATAATAGAATAATGATAACATTATTGTGGTAGCTCCAAAAACAAATTAAACATATCTTTAATTATTAAAAGATGATTTGTAGTTATAAGAGTATGAATAACGGTAAGCTAAGGAAGAGCCACAAATGTAATTACAAATTAGAGAAATTAGAGGTTAGAGATTTCTAATAGAAGAGATTAAAATATAAATTGATTATTAAAATTTAGTTGAAAGGTTGATAAAATTGTTTTTATAAATATAGAATGACTATTATTATTATTATTATTATTATTATTATTATTATTATTACTATTATTATTATTATTATTATTATTATTATTATTATTATTATTATTATTATTATTATTATTATTATTATTATTATTATTATTATTATTATTATTATTATTATTATTATTATTATTATTATTATTATTATTATTATTATTATTATTATTATTATATTATTATTATTATTATTATTATTATTATTATTATTATTATTATTATTATTATTATTATTATTATTATTATTATTATTATTATTATTATTATTATTATTATTATTATTATTATTATTATTATTATTATTATTATTATTATTATTATTATTATTATTATTATTATTATTATTATTATTATTATTATTATTATTATTATTATTATTATTATTATTATTATTATTATTATTATTATTATTATTATTATTATTATTATTATTATTATTATTATTATTATTATTATTATTATTATTATTATTATTATTATTATTATTATTATTATTATTATTATTATTATTATTATTATTATTATTATTATTATTATTATTATTATTATTATTATTATTATTATTATTATTATTATTATTATTATTATTATTATTATTATTATTAT